ATATTATATATATGTAATATTAAATTATAATTATAAATTTATAATTTTACATAATATTATAATTATAATCTTACCCGTTATAATTTCTCCGGCTTGGATTGATTGAGTGGAAGGAAGGGAAATGCTCTTGGTATTTTTTTTTCTTTTTCATTTTTTTCTTCTGCTGGAATGGTTTGCAATTAAACCATTGAACCTCCAAAAAATAATGAATTGCGGCCGCACAAGCCGCCACACGTGGGGCTCTGCGCCGCACCTACATCAGCAGGGGTTTTCGTTATTGTCTCGCACTGTTATTATATAAAAATATTTAATAGTTTTTTTTAGCATATAAATGTTTAATAGATTTTTTTGAACAAAAAATTTATTGTTATCTATAAACTTTTTATATTTTCCACTAAGTCCTAAAATATACTGTTCTTACCATTCAAAATCCTCTACAATTATGTTATGAGCACTAGTTTTACAAGTTAGTTACACAAAAATAATTCTTTTTGGTATTTACCAACTTAAGTGTCTCTAAAGTAGTTTTAACATACTAATCACCTAGTAATTCTATCTTAAGAGGTGGCTCAATTAATTAATAATTTTAAATTTTAAATTAAAAATCTTAAATTCAAATATTGAATAAAGTAAAAAGAGTTTTGGAAAAAAAAATGCTATCACTTTTTGTATAACATATCAATAGATGTATAAAAATAATTACCCAATAATTTTGACCCCAATTATGTTATGAGTACTAATAATTTTGACTCGACGCTTACTCAACTTGGCTTAGCCTCATTGTTTGCCAACCCTAATAATAAGGAAAAAAAATAAGTAGATAATGAAATTTTAGATTTTATTGAGGTCGGATATATCCTGATAATTAATAAATGTTAGATTTGAACTACTCCATGGATAAAAAACAAAGGGGAAGGTAAGATACTTTTTCCTTTTAGATTGGCTCATGAATCCTAGATACTGCTCTATCAAATGAAAGATAGAGCAGGGTGTAGAATATGAATTGGACTGATAGCATACTGCTTTATGGATTGCTACCATGACTCTATATGTTTAGCAATTGACTGTATTATAGGTTTAAGTACCTTTTATATTCTTATAATAAAATTTTTTGCTTTTTTTTTTCTTTTTAAAGGAAAAACCTACTTTCCATTGAATATTTATTGAGGATTTTTCCAAAGTTCATTGGGTATATATTAAGCATTGTTTTAAAGACAGTTGGTATTTTATTTGAGAATTTTAGGGAAAATCTTGTCGTTACAACATTTATTTTTGCATGATGCTATCTTTTAACATAAAGAAAGTGATTCAAAAATAAATTTTTTTGTACAATTTTATATGTAATTTAATAATTAATCTTTTTCATTCATTTAAATTTTTAATATTATATATGTTTATTTAATAAAATATAAACATTATATAAAAAAATTATCTTTGTAACATTACTTTTTACATAAAATCAAATAATCATGATTATATGAGTAGAAAAGCAATGAATGAACGATGAAAAATTCAAATGCCTAAAAATCAAAGAAGGGAACACTTCTATTCAACATACGAATTCTCTCTTAAATTTGGCTGCCAAGAAAACTACTTTGGTTTCTCTCTCATATTTTCTTTTGTTCGTAACTTTATATAAAGGTTTAATGAAAAGTAAAATTCTTAAACAACTAAAAAATACGTAAAGATTATTTAAAATTTTTACTCTTGATAAATAAAATCTAACACTTTTAAAAGCCTAGTTTCATAGTTCTTTCATTAAGTTTTGTAGCAACTTTAACAGATATCATTCAACTTTCTGTTAAAATTATTGAAAAATTCAAAATACACTCCTGATCTTACTCATTTACCTTTGTGTTGACTACCTGACTGTTTCAATTTCCTTATTTCTCTTGCACATTTGCATGATGTACTAACATTTGTTTTTGGAGCTCATGTTGAGGGCAATGTGCCCAATAATATTTTTAATTTTTTTCTTAAAATATATAATTATTCATTAAAACTTAATTATTTAATTATGATTTAATTATTTGTTGTTAATTAAATTAAAAAAACAAAGAGCCTCTGATTTTTTTCTCTGTTTTCAGTTCACATGTTGCTTATATGGTTGCTTACGCAACACCACGTGAGTGATAACATGGACTTTCATCAGTTTATCTAATATAATTATGTTAAATAGATAAAACTGAGATAATCTTAAAAATTAATAAACAACTTTAAAAGAAAATAAAAATTATAAAATAAATCTAACAAATGTCAATAATTAACAAATAATTTATGAAATTAAGCCATAACATATGCTGTTTTCTAGTAGTGTACACGGTGCCTCTATTTTCTTCCTTTCCGATGGATCAGTTCTTCTGTGCACCATCACCGCAAAATTCTGCTATAGTCAATCCAGAAACTATATATATAGGTGTATATTAATTTGTAGATTCTGTCACCATCTTCCCGGAAACCGTCGGTGGTTGTAATTTGAATTCAATCAAATAATTATTCTCTTTTTTTTTTTTTGGCGGATAGAAAAAATAAAGACGAGTTTAGATTAAAAAAATAATCTTTTTATCATTATATCATCCATATAAAGTGAAACTGCAATGCAACTAGATAGAATTTAATTTTTAAGAAAATATTTCATTTTTTTTTTTTGTACATGTGAGTATGAGTTATATAAAA